TTCTTTTTCCTGTTATTGTCCTTGTTACCTTATAGCGGGGATGTCGAATAATAACAAAGTCGTGGCAGTATTTGGAGGGCAATCAAACGCAGTCGAGTATGGGGGCAGGATAAGCATTGGCGACACGAGGTTATTGCGTTGGTTTAAGCAGCACGAGAACCGCGGGACGTCCTCTTTATTTCTCTTTTATTCCTTTGCATATCCACGGGGAATGGTTGGAATGTTATTTTTTGAATGAGGAGTGGTTTTATTGCCCTGGAAGCACGTTTAAATGCTTTGACAAACAGACGGTTATTCTATTTGCGGCGTCTTATCTTTCCGCGAGCAGCTATAAAGGAGGAATTAATTTCCATCTGCTTTCGCGGAGTAGGTCTTTAGCTTGGAAATGAACTGTAACCTTTGCATATGATAAGGATATTTTTTCTGCTTTTCACGGGAAAAAATGTGCGATAATTAGTGTAATTACTTTGGATGATGACGTCTTGATTCTATCACAAAACCGCTGTACCTTCCATTTGCACAACGAACGCCGAAATGATCATCATTCTGTTAAATAGTGAAGATCCCTCCTCAATTATAGGAAATTAAAAACAGTCTACCAAGAATACTGTGTTTGTCGTTCAACGTACATTATAATCAATTTTTCTTGTTTTATTCATGCTTGGGATATTTCTCCAATAAGTCATCGAAAGGCTCGATTGAGAAGAGAATTTTCGGAAGCTCCGGGAAAAAATAAATAAAACGGGCTCATATCGAGGAAAATGGGTTCCTCTCTTGTACACTTCCACGAACATTCAAATAATTGGAAAGCGCGTAATTATTTTAACCATATTGTAAAAGCGATCGAAAGGATTCGCAAGACTTTTCAGCAGAATTCCGATGAAATATTCCCTAGAGGCAGATTATTGTGGTATAGTTGCGTTGTGTAGTTTTTTGTTTCAGTTTATGCTTGCTTCCGGGATGATTTCGAGTCGGGATAATCAAATTTTTTTTTGCATTTTTCAAGAGGTATAATTGTTGTTGTCCGAATTCGATGGATTAATCGATGGGAGGATACCATTTTTAAAGAAATTTTTTTTTAGACATATGAAAACTTGCTCAAGAGATTTGCTTTCTCTTGTTATCAGAATACTATTGCAATCGTCTGTCCGCCAAGAATTTCGCAGAGAAATTGAGAAATTTCTGATTATTCTTAATTTCCAATCAATCTACCGGTAATTTAAAGACGAAAATTAGTGCCGTTCAGCTGGCTTGACAATTTTTGGAAGGCGCATGAAATTAAAAAAACCATAGAATTCCATGAAAAACTCAGGAATGGATTGAAACGGCTACACGTATGTAAGTTGGTTTGAGGAGAGAAGAATTCTTACTTTAGATAGTCCGTTTTCTAGTTGATAAATTTCATCTTCCATTTCCAAAAACAGTAATAAGTAATGAAACAATAGTCGGAAGTCAATTCTTTGTTCAGTACCCTGTTTATGCCAGAAGAATGACTATTGATACAGTTGATGGGGCCACTGCTTGGATTTCGTGCCCAGCTTTAGGAGATATCATTCATCTTCTTCGTGGACGGGTTCTGCTTCTGACATGGCACTTCTGTCACAGGTATCGCTTTTCCAGGGAAGGTTACTCATTCTTACCCATTAGTGTGCTTCTTGGTTGAGTCCCTCACATTTNCTCACATTTCATGCCCCCTTGAGATCCTTCGAGGTCACGTGTATACTCGTATGTCACATTTTTTTTTTTTACAAAACAATTCCGTTGAATTCAGTGAAACGTTACTATATTTCACTATAATGTCCATACCGAAAGTTCCACGTGCCAATACAGCCTCACGTGTAATATTTCCAGAAGAATGCGGCTATATCGAAGTTGTATTCGTCAGTATACCTGTAAGGGATTGAATGTGGAATTTTTCGAAAGTGATCATTACTTGAAAAATACAATATGTTTCCAAATTTCTGCAGTTATTCTGGGTTGTATTGGTCGAAGGAACCAGTTTCGTACAGCGTCAATATTATGACGGCGGAAACATTAAACTTACGTCCGTTCTATTGCGGCCATTCCATAAGTATTAATTAATCATCTATAATGTGAAGTTCCACCCTTCAAGTACAGAACAATGGGACACTGATACGTAACACCCTGTTTCGGAATCTCAATTGCAAATTGAAGCTACTGTATTTAGATATAAGTAGACTTGTAAGTCATTTGAGAAGGACATGCGATTTTAAAAGAAGGCTTGTTTCATAATTCGGCATATATGTACAATGGATTATTTGAATTTTCAGCCACATTCTTTAGTTTCAGATTGCCCAAATTATTCATTCTTTTGATTATTTAATGATGCTCTTCCTTTGATCGTTCGCACTCGAAGTTTTGTAAATGAATGCCGGCAGATTCGTTGAACGTTAAAATCCTAACAAAATTACCAAATTTTAAGCAACCTTGGTGGCTACAAATAATAGCGAGGAAATAGAGATTCTTTGATATCCTCGGGAAATTACAGACATGCGGTTTTCGCACATGTTTTATCAGGAAATACACATTTCCACGAATATTTCGCTTCACGGTTGTAACCCAACTATTGGACGAAATCTAGACGTCAATCGTGAGCGTTGTATGTTTTCCACAGGCTAGTATACTAAGGAAACAGAAACAACTCACCTGGTATGATAAGGTCATGAACCAATGATTTTATCCTACAAGGCGTTTTCGATAAACGCTCGAATCAACATAACTCATGCTGTATAAAAGTCCAATTAAACCGGTAAAATATCACATTTTGAAAAATATTACCTCGGCCAAAGCACAAAAAAAAGCCAGGAATAAAAATCCTTTCAAGCGGATTGGTTTCATAATTGAGGAACACGTCGGCTGAAACTGTATTAC